CCATACACCAGTTCCTGATGATATTTGTTTCTGCCCGTGCAGCTCGCAGTGTTTTATTTGTTTTCTCCTGCTTGAAGTCAAAAACCAGGCTGTGTCGTACCTGCAGTAGTTCTTTAGCGGACCCTCTCTTCTCCACGTCCATCTCCAGACACTGGTTCAGGAAATCTCTGAATGTTGTGGAGAGTTTCTCGGGGTTTTGAAGTTCTGGCGTTCCGTTGGTCGCGATCAGATACAGAGCCTGGAGGAAACAGAGCAGCAGAACTTTACTTCCCATGAAGACTGACACCTGGTGGTCTGTTACTCTGCTGCCACCTAGTGGTTGTTTTAAGAACGACTCTCTGAGTAATGAATTAGTTTATGGTGTCTTTTAATAAAAACACATAAAAATATGCTGTTTGTTAGTCTCTTAACAAATTATCTCATGAGACACAGGAAAGATTTTTGTTCTGTTATTCACTTTTGAAGTCAACTTAAAAAAGGCTGTAACTTGTAATTTTACAAATAAGTTAAAATGACTAAAATCTTTTTTTTTGTTATTCCCTTATTAGGAGTCAACTCTGTCTTCCTGTCAGCAAAATATCCCATGAACTACTGAGCAGATTTTAATTGAACTTAATAATAATCACAGGATGTTTATCTACAACTAATACATTTTGGAGCAACTCAAGATGGCTGCCACAGCTAACTGACCTGTCCGAATTCAATGATTTTTAAAGATATTGAGCTAAATAATGGTGCGGTAGTAGCTGAGAGGGATACGACTTCTTTTTGTAAGTTTTAGGTGCTATAGAATGTCCATTTGCTGCAAATTAATAAAAAAAAACACAAAGTAGTAGCTGTTAGAGCACCACTTCCTTTTTAAAAATGTTTTCTTCACATCTAACAATTTGTGTTTTTCAGTTTTTTGTTAGCTGTTTGTTTCCCCTCCTCATCCATCCAACACACTCACCCTGAGCGGGTTCTCGTTCAGGTAGGGCGGTTCTCCCTCCACCATCTCGATGGCCATGATGCCCAAGGACCAGATGTCCACTTTGGGGCCGTAGGCCTTCCGGGTCACCACCTCCGGAGCCATCCAGTACGGAGTCCCCACCATGGTGCTGCGTTTGCTCTGCTCCGGGGTGATCTGGGCGCAGAAGCCGAAGTCGGCTGACGGGAAGGAGGACAACGGAATCAGTGTTTGAGATGCTCTCTTAGTAAAATAACTGCTTTCATTTAACATTTGTCAGTGCATGAGTGCTAATCCAACTTTATCTATGCATCCCAGCAGACCAAAGTACTGTACTGAACCAACATTAGAAAACAAATAATAAATAATAAAAGCAGGAAATAAAAAAGTAAAATGCCTAAAACCTAATTTAAAAATCTATCTACAATAAAATCAAGAAAATAAAAAAAATCCACAGTAAATGTAACAAAACGCTAGCTAAAAGCTAAACATATTGGCCAATAGTAGCACAGTGTTAGCAGAAAAGTAGCAAAAATGCTACTTAACTAGCAAAACATTAGCAAACAGACAAAAGTAATAAATCGTTAGCTAAAAACTTAAAAGTAGCAAATTTCTATCTAAAGAGGTAAAACTAACTAAATGAAGGTAATAAAAGCAAAAAAAAAAGGTGTGAAAAGCAAATAAATCTAGCTAGCCCTTAGCAAAAAACAGCTATGGGCTAGCTAACACACACAAAGAAATATGGATTTTAAATTAAAATGTTTTAAAAACAAAAAAAGTTTCTTTGATTTTAGCTTCTAGCTAGCCCTTAGCTAAAAAATAATATTGTTTTTGGAGAGATCTTAAAAGTATTAAATTATGTATTTTTTGTAAATAAAAAGTGAAAAAGAGTCAAATACATATTTTGAAAAGTATAAAAGTTATGAAAACAAAACAAAACCATCTCCTGAATAAGCTGAACATTATAATGGAACAGCTAAAAAATAAATACATAAGAGAATCAAAAACCAAATCTAAACAGGACGTTAACAGAGCGCTGACTCAGCATTGAGGCATGAAACGAGTGGATGAGGCGGAGTTTGCGTGGCTGCGGTGGACTCACTGAGCTTGACGGAGCCGTCCATCCCCAGCAGGATGTTGTCACTCTTGATGTCTCGATGGATCACCTGGTTGGAGTGGAGGAACTCCAGCGCCTGCAGACACTGGACGGAAAAATAAAAACCATTACTCGGCGAGCGCTGAACCTTCAGACATCAGGTCTGCGCTCTCTTACCTCTCTGCACACAGCAGCGATCTGAGCTTCATCCATGCAGGTCTCTGTCACGACATCTGTCAGAGAGCCTCCGGCCAGGTACTCCATCACCACCCAGAGCTCATCGCCCACCAGGTAGCTGCAGCAAACCACGAGCGCAGTTTCATTCAACGCTCACAGTTATTAAAGACAATTTTCTTTCAAAACAGTTCACATAAAAAGAAAAGATTTAAAGCAGCTTGAATGTTGAATTTTGAAGCATTTCTTTATGTAAATCTGGAAAAAAACAATTACTGCACACACACAAGTTTGTATTCCTATCCTTATCAGGACCATTCATTGATTTCTATAGCCCAACCTGAACCTCCAGCACTGAAACCTGAACCTGACCTGCAGCAGCAGATCATTTTCAACAAAATGCGGAAGCCCATTTATACGGCAGGCCATTTTTACATTTAATCAGCTTCACCACACTTGCATTCCAGGCATCTGAAATTGATTTATGATTACATATATTAGTTATTTATATTATTTCAGTGAGTGATATTTAAGATTTAACAAATGAAAATTATAGACTTTTTTTTCATTTAATCAGGACAGAATGCAATTAAAACATAGACAAAAAACATTTGATGCATTGCACTAGATTTAGCCGAATTTACATCTTTAATGTTAATCATGTTCATGTCCTGTAACTTTTAAGCTGCAGACTATCATAATAAATAAATACTAGTAATATTTCTGCTGTCAATCATGTGTTCAAAAGCCACACCCCCTTAAAGGCCAATAGGGGAAACACAGGTTACAAGAAACAAAACTAAAAAGGTAACAAATACAAGAACACACACACACACTGAACTGGATGCTATTATTTTAAACAGATTTATTGCTTCATCTGAAACTTTAGAGCTCCTCTCTTATCTAGGAGCTGAGAGTTTGATTCAGTTGTTACTTTTTTTAAAAAGGTTTCATTATCTGAACATAAACCCAAACATATAAATCTGCACTTAAACACAAAGATCCATCCCTTAAAGGAGATAAAATTAAATAAATCATAGAAATCTGACAATATCCTGAATATTAAACTCTTTGAGTCTTTTACTGCTTCAAACCTCTGCATTAAACTTTAATCATATTAATTGATTTTACCTGTCCAGGTAGTTGACGATGTTGGGGTTCTTGTTTTCCCTCATCACCAGGATCTCGTTGATGATTAGCTCCTTCTTGGGCTGCTGCTGCAGGTTCATCTGTTTGATGGCAACCTGGGAGAGAAACGTGAAGAAACAAACCTGAACTCTGAGCTGAGAGAGAAAAAAACTAAACGATGAAGAGGAAGGAAACCCACCTCCTGCCCCGTGGCGATGTCTATAGCTGTGTAAACTGTTCCAGAGGCCCTGAAAACACACACACAACCAGCTAAACACAAACCTGCACAGTTTTAGACTTCTTACAAACCATAATATAAAATAAACCGGGGTTAGTTTATTCTCACCCCTGTCCAATCTTCTCAAAGCGTGTATATTTCTTCTTCGGGTCTCCCACGCTGACAATCGTCCCTGAGGACGAAAAAGAAGGAGAAAGAAGCAGAACTCACCGACTGAACAAACAAAATGAGCTGTAAGAAAACCGGCTCGTTTTAAAACTAAACGCTGGCTTCTGTGGATAGAAGAGCCGGGCGTCTTTCTATCCGTTTAATCTCAACTTGACAGCAAATTCATCCAACTCAGATCAGAGCAGCATGCAGAGGAAACGCAGAGACGACAAACAACAGGAGAGAAACCGAACAGATGAAAACTAAAACTGAATCTGCAGTCGTCGTTCAGAGATAGGAGCCAACGGCAGGAAAAAGATTCAAGGTTAAGACTTGGACGGACTCTGCAGCCGGAGGAGATAACGGACAGACAGAACGACCAATCAGACGTGAGGATTGGACAGAGGAGGGGGAGGGGACAGAGAATGTCAGATCTGTCAATCAGAGTCAGACGGACAGACCTGGTCCTGGTCTTACCAGCAGAGGGAGACCTGAGCACATCTGGACAGGCATGATGGTTTAAAAATACAGATTTTTATTCAGAAACTAATAAATTCAATCTAAACATTTCATTCTTTGTTAAAATGTTTAAAACATTTAATTAGTTCCCATTTTTTTAATTTGTATAAACAGAAAACTAAATTAAATTCAAGTTATTCTACCTGAGAGATTTATCTTTTTTTTTTATTTGATCATCTCAACTTTTCAGATAATCCTCAGGATTCACCTTGATGGAGCTAAATTACTCTTTTATTATTTGATTATTTATTTTGTTTCATTTATCAGATTCTTTGTGAGGCGTTTCGTTGCTCCAGACTTACGTAGTTTCTCCAGGATCTCCTCGTCTGACATCTTCTTCTTTTTGGTTTTGTCTTGTGAGCGGGGCAGGGATGGCCCAGGGGCGGGGCTTGCACTGGGAGGGCTGCCGGGGGCGGCCTCTGAGGGGGGCGTCGGGGTGACGGCGGCGGCGGCGGTCGGCGGGGAGATGGGCGAGGTGGCGGCATCTTTGGTTGAAGGAGGAGGGAGGGGCTCGATCACTGAACGAGTGTAGATCTGAATGAATAACAGCAGAAAACATTTAAAACAGGAAGTTTGAAATGATGACATCGTGTGTGAAACTTAAAAATATATTCAAGATTAAAAACTTAAAAAATTAAAAACAAAAAATAAGTAAATCATGTTTTAATTTACTTAAAAGATTTGGACACAACAGTAAAACATTTTATTTATTTCAATAATATTTAAATTTATTTTAAGGAAAACTGAAGCGTTTCTCCCAAACAGACCGGAGATGTGTGTCTGTGTGCGCTTGTTTGTGACGGTGCACTAAAGTCGTCACCGTGGAAACAGTGACGGCGCCATGGAAGCAGCCGCTCAACCGCCAACCTGTCTGAGAAAAGAGCAACAATGTGTGTGTGTGTACTTGTTTTGACCACAGTGTGAGGACCATTTGCGCCATAGTTACTATCAAAGTGAGGTCTTTCATGCAAAGTGAGGACCTCTTCAATGTCCTCACTTTGTTTGCAGCTCTGCTGCTCTTTACTAGTCAGGTTTAGACCAGGGGTCTGCAACCTTTACAACCAAAAGAGACATTTCTGCTGCTTGACGCACTAATACAATGAGTCCAGAGCCGCAAAACAAGCTAAAACTATGATTATCAAGTGGTGGCCTGTGGGCCTTTTCAGTAACCTTTACAGCCAGTGGAGGAGACATTATAAAACTAAAAAATGTATTGTGAGTTTTATTATTTATCATTATTTTTATACACATCAGAACAAATGAAAAAACCATATTCATGTAAATAAGAAAAATACAGTATATAGTTTATGCTAAATTTCACAAAAAACTATTACAACTGAACTATTCAGGCATATTTTTTCCAATTCTTATTGTCATGTATTTAAGTAAACAACAGGTTAGCATGAGCTAACATGTTTTACTTTTTGTATTAGTAGTATTGACCACATATTTGCATATAAATTGATTTATTGTGAGTACAAAAACAAACAAACAAAAAAAAATATATATATATACACACACCGTTATGTTTGGTCACATTTTCGAAGAGCCACTGCAGAGGAATTAAAGAGCCACATGTGGCCCCAGAGCCTCAAGTTGCAGACCCCTGGTTTAGAGGTATGATGTAAATTAAGTTCTGGTTCAGCTTAAAGTTAACTATAGACCAATAATGGTTCGTTTTAGGGAAAATGTCTGGGTTAGACATAAATACAGTTACAAAAATGAATGGAAGTCAATACAAAGTCCTCAGTTTGATGCAAGTACAAAGAGTTGTAGAGCTTTTTCTATGCTGCATTTGTA